CTATGGGACAATTTAGCACGGCCAATCCACCCTAACCTGCACATCCCTGGACACTATGGGACAATTTAGCATGGCCAATCCACCCTAGCCCGAGGGTGGAATCGAACCTGGGTCCCTGGTGCTGTGAGGCAGCAGTGCTAACCACTGGGCCACCGTGCTGCCCTCTACTAACAAAGTCAAGGAGCCCGAATGCTTTGGTCCCTTAGCTAACAATGCAGTCACTGCCCTTTGGTCCTGCAGTTTTAAAACTGTCCAGATTGAAGAACGAAACAACACACTGGGTTTTGGGGCCTGCCCTTTCAAAAGGGTAATCCAGTTCACCCACAGTCTCTCCCCAGATCCCAGCGATGTTTAACAACCCCTTTCATACCAACACTCTAGCAGAGGAGAAAGGGAATCCGAAATGCGACAGGAAAGGCCACAGTCTGATGCTGATGTGCTTTATTTTCTTACTTGCCTTGCTGCAGATGACGGACATGAAGTAATAGTCGAGCAGAAAGGTCTCGGAGAAGTGGCTGTAGTCGAAGCGGAAGAAGAGGACGGTGAAGCTGAGGGTCACATACTGATGGCAGGGGCAGCAGAAGGAGGAGCGAAGGAGCTTCATCCCGGCCACTGTTATAAACAGCGGGTCACTGCTGGAAAGATGGAGGGAGAAAGAGTGGAGGGAAAGATGGTCATGCAAATCATTTTCAAATCTTGAACGAGACCAAGGCAGGGGGAGGTGAGCATTGAGTATCAGAAAAGGGAACATGTTCTTTTTTGAGAGAGGTCAGCACGACAGGGCAAGAACAGAACTTCCACTACTCCCTTCACTACCTCAGGGGGTCACGGAGCCAGTGACATACTTCTGACAGGTGGGCACTGCCGCAATATCGCAAACACAGCAGCCAAATTGTGCAGAGCAAGATCCCACAATACCGCAACCACCAGATAATCTCTTTTTCTCTGACCTACTATGCTGCCTGAGGAATAAACGCCAGAAAACAATACAAATAAATCTCAGGCAACTAGGGACAGATCAGGCCTCTTCCACTGCTCTGGAGGGGTGGGGGGATGGAGGCCTGGGATTAACATCTCATTCAGAAAACAGCATCTCTGACAGCACAGCACCCGCCCCCTCCCTTAAGTGGGGAGGAGGGCATCAGCTTGAACTACACTACCAAGTCTGGAGTGGGACCTCCTTGACTTGCCAAGTTAAAGCAAGAGACAAGAGTGCTGCCCACTGAGGCTTGCTTGATGCCCATAATGCCAATGGGGATACAGGTGGTGTGACTTTGGGAACGGTTCAGAGTGTGTGCCTGGCAATGTGTGGGAGCATCATGGGAAAACCCCCGCTCCCCAATTCCTAACCGCACCAGGAGGTGCCAACTAGCTCCCTCTCCTGTTGTAACCCTCGCCTGCGCTGCATCACTTACTATATTCCGAGCTTGTGGCGGCTGCTGACAGCACTGGCGTCGGTGGTGAGGGCACTGAGGATGACTGCTGGGTAGATGAAGTACTTCTCCATGCACTGGAGCCAGGCATAGACTTTCTCAAACCACATTAGCTGCGCTGCATCTGACGGAAGGGAGAGAAGCGGTGAGCGTGTAACAAACCCGGCACTGGCACATCTTCCCCGTCACCAACCACTGAACGTCGTCAAATTCACTCGGACGTTTGACTATCACAGGCTCCCCACATGCCCTGGCCACCCCATTCCACTCCATTCCTGTTGGGTTTATTGTCACCGGAGGCAGCAGTCACTATTCCTACAGAGATAAGGGTTATATAGTCCGCACTGCCTCTTCATTCGTCTACTATGCGCAGTCAGAGACACAAGGTAAAGCCATGCTCTGGGCTAACTCCCCACTTTCTCTGCACCTCGTCAGACCACAGAAGACGAAGGTAACCCACATCACAGTCTCTTTTGGGTTAATTCCTCTCCCTTCCACCAATGCACAGAAAGAAGGGTGGTTTAAGCGCACTCTCCAAAAGAAAAATGGGAACAAGGCTGGCAGGAATTGAACAGAAACCCTACCACCCCCAATTTAATGCCCTTACCCCTTTTAAGGGAACATAAAAGCCAACCCCAGCAGTGAAATGTGTTACAAATAAAACCAGAGAACTTAAAAACAAAGGTTCAGTGCGACAAGGACGCCATCCAGTCCCAAGAAGGTGGACTGAAAATGTATCACTTCTGCTAAAAGAGTGCAGTTGTATCAAAAGGACTACCAGAGGCACAGCGGGCTGAATGGCCTCATTCTGTTTGGTCTCATTCCATTGTTTGACAGCGATGAACAGGGAGGTAATTTTTTTTTCCATTTTGGATAGGAGGAGGTTGCAAGAAAAATCTCTCAAAGGGAGAAATAACAAGTCAGAGAAGGTTGGGTGGAGAGATCGGATATGAGCCCAGTGTAGCATGCCACACCCCAATCACATATTGATAAACGATGGCCTCTTAGAGAGCAAACCAGGACGGGCTTCAGTGATAATAGAGCAGCATAGGATACAGAAAACCTTCCTGAAATGCTCGGCAACCAAGGGGTTTGTGTAACTGTAAAGCTAAAGGAATCTAGCAGTCAAAAAAAGAGAGAGAAAAATTAGCTGGACAGAGGGTTATTAAATTCCCCTGACCAATTGAGCTTTATCCTAGAGTATTTGCAGTACAGAAACAGACTATTCAGCCCATCAGTTCCATGTTAGTGTCCATTTCAGCTTCCTCCCATCCTCTGGCCATTCCACTCCTTGCTTCCATACCTTTCGCCCCCAGGTTTATCCAACTTCCCTCTGAAATAAATCTGTATAATTCACTCATTCGCCGCTCCCTGGCAAACGACATTTCACCTGAACTCCTGTGTGCGATTTATTAGGATGTTTTCTTTTAATATTTAGGGGCTTTATTTCTCGATCCACTTGTGGAGGAACTGTCCCCAGGAACGATGAGAAAAACCAATGGGAGGGAAGTCACTGGCAAACTCATCTTGGGTAGGCAGCCCCCACAGAAGAACGCTTCCGAGTCAATGGCAGGTAATCCACTTTCCAGACTCTTCAGATGCCCTCCTTTCGAGGATGCCCTGCCCTACCCTATCAGAGGCCGAGGGCCCAGTGACAAGAGTCGCCCTGAGACACCTCACTGTTCACTCCAGACACAACACTGTCTGGTGGCTTCAGGTCAAACAAGCCCATGACTCAAAATTCCCTGCACACCCCTGTCCTGCAATCAATGCAGGAATCAATTCTCCACCTTTGTTCAAATGTACTTGTGCGCCACACACAGACAAGCTGCTGCCAGAACAGGTCTGCGGCCCTGCAGGCTTACCACAAAACTCAGTGATGATGATCAGACTCACCTCGGACCTCAAACTGGCTGTACTCCCTGGATTTCAGCATCGGGTGAGAGAGGCAGCACCACGGCAGCTGCTTACGGAGCTGCGGGAGGAGGTAATGTGTCAGGAAACCAACCAGGCCAGCCAGGGCGTAGAGCACATAACTCAGGACCGGCTGCATCAGAGAGGGGCGTGGGGGGAGGAGGGGGAAAACAGGAACAGAAAACGATAATGAGACAGGAGAGATGGCTGGACACTGATTACCCATGTGGGTCCACTTCTCTCAACGGGAGGCTGGCACTTGCTTAAGGCAACCTGTGGTTGTAGCTATAGCAACACGGAGTTGCGTTCTATCAATGACATAACTGCTTCCCCAACAACCCCAAAGATTGTCAGGGGTTTGAGTCTGATCTGGTGCCTTGAGCCCACAATCTGGTGACTTTCTTGAAAAAAAATTCATTCACGGGATGAGGGCGTTTCTGGCCAGGCCGGTATTTATTGCCCAACCCTAATCGCCCAGAGGGCAGTTTGAGACTCAACCACATTGCTGTGGGTCTGGAGTCACACGTAGACCAGACTAGGTAAGGATGGCACTTTCCTTCCCTAAAGGACATTAGTGAACTCGATAGATTTTTCCAATTCATGGTCATCATTAGATTTTTAATTCCAGGGTGGCACGGTTAGCACTGCTGCCTCACAGCACCAGGGACCCGAGTTTAATCCCAACCTCAGGCGACTGTCTGTGTGGAGGTGACACGTTCTCCCCGTGCCTGCGTGGGGTTTCCTCCGGGTGCTCCGGTTTCCTCCCACAGTCCAAAGATGTGCAGATTAGGGGTGGATTGGCCATTCCAAATTACCCATAGTGTCCAGGGATGTGCAGGTTAGGGTGGATTGGCCGTGCTAAATTGTCCCATAGTGCCCAGGCATGTGCAGGTTAGGGTGGATTGGCCGTGCTAAATTGCCCCATAGTGCCCAGGGATGTGCAGGTTAGGGTGGATTGGCCGTGCTAAATTACCCCATAGTGTCCAGGGATGTGCAGGTTAGGGTGGATTGGCCGTGCTAAATTGCCCAATAGTGTTCAGGGATGTGTAGATTAGGTGGGTTATAGGGGTATGGGTCCATGTGTAGACTTGTTGGGCCATCAGTCACCAGTCGCTGTCTCTAAAGATGGTCATTGATGAGTAAATGTCACATGCAGGATGCTGAATCCCACCACGGCAGATGGTGCAATTTGAATTCAATAAAATATCTGGAATTAAGATTCCAATGATGACCATGAATCCATTGTCAGCTGTTGTGAAAAACCCATCTGGTTCACTAATGTCCTTTAGGGAAGGAAACTGCCTTCCTTACCTGATCTGGCCTACATGTGACTCCAGACCCACAGCAATGTGGTTGACTCTCAAACTGCCCTCTGGGCGATTAGGGTTCGGCAATAAATACTGGCCTGGCCAGAAACGCCCTCATCCCGTGAATGAATCAAAAAAAGCACACTGAGCCACAGCCAACAACTCAAACCTGTAAGCCCAAATCACCCAACGCAAGCTTTACAATAGTGTACATGAAGAACCCACATCCCCCAGTAAACTAGACCAGGCCAACAACAAATATTCACTCCACTTAAGCAAATCTCGTTAGGTCTGTCACTGTATAACACTGGGGTACAGTACCGGTGGGGACAGGTCTGTCGCTGTATAACACTGGGGTACAGTACCGGTGGGGGACAGGTCTGTCACTGTATTACACTGGGGTACAGTACTGGTGGGGGACAGGTCTGTCGCTGTATTACACTGGGGTACAGTACTGGTGGGGACAGGTCTGTTGCTGTATTAAGAGACAACAAGATGTGGAACTGGACGAACACAGCAGGCCAAGCAGCATCAGAGGAGCAGGAAGGCTGACGTTTCGGGCCTAGACCCTTTTTCAGAAAATCT